TTATATGGATTGCAATAATAGTGGAGATGAATGCTTTCAACCATACACCCTTGATTACGCCCTCAAGCAAAATTCATTATGAGCCTGAAATGAGTGGAAGTACTCGCTGAATCAAATTGAATAGCGCAGTGTTCGTTTTCTCTTTTGGGAAACTACTCGACAGTTCTTTCCATGCATTATACATAAGGATGACGTCTGACCTACTTTTAAGGGACAACACAACTTGTGTGCCAATACTTCAAGTAACGATATTTAGTAACAACAATAAACAATCGCTGGATGTTAAATATTTGGGCGTATCTCGATTTGAATTGATTAAAATTTGCGCATGACATCGACAGTCAATTAAGTGAAGCACTGTCGTGGCAATCAAAAACAGTTTATCAGGAAATATACAGTATCACATTACTGGCATCGATTGCTTCATTTGATTTTAATTTAAATTGCATTTGATAGTTTTAATTTGTGCGGAAATTTTCTACTTTCCGACACAATGAATTCGCTTTCAACGCTGGAAATTCATTTATCATTACGCTTCAAATGTTCACAGACTAGAAAGAACACATTAAGGAAAATGTGTTGGGAAAGAAATGTTTCGATGTTAATTTGAGATAATTCCATGGTGAAGATAAAAGCGTCTTCTTGTGATAGAACCCATCTCCAATATTGTCTTTTGTCTCTCTTTGTTGGCCATTCTTAGAGAGATTCGAGACTGCGTCATTCAATCCAATTACACATCAATAGATTCTCATGAAGTCCGTCTGCAGAACACCTCTGATTTTTTTTATGGAACCTCCAATTCACCTCAATAGTGACATGCAGGAGAATTTATTTGCGACATAAACATAATTCCTGCGCCACTTTTCGCGTTGCATTTGGCGAGGCTCTTTGTCTCCAAAGGCCAACATATCTACAGTATATTTCACATTTGCTCCGCATGCAAACTATGCATCTCTTGCGTGGCAACAGTTGTAAAAAAGGGGCGGCAGATTAAAATTTATATTCACTCGCAGAAATTCCACCGAATTATAATGATGTGTTGGCTTTCTGGCAACGGCGGAAAGTTTGTGTGTTGCTGGCGATAAATCATGAGCTTTTGCGCGACGTCACGTGAGCTTTCACCACAAGAAATGCAAGGCATTGGCTTCATCTTCACACCCGCCGAACCTCTCTGTATTGCCACTTAACTTCTTGCCTCGACTCTCTTAATTAACTGCCAAAAAGGGGAGAAAAAAGCCAATGTGACATCCTAATTAAGTAGCGGCTGCCAGAAATGCTCAATTTTACAAAACTTTTCTTCCACTCCTCAGTGGCGAGGAACAATTTGCCCGCCTGAACTCTTCTCTTGCCATCCGCACTCCGCAGGAGATCACATTGTGAAGTGCTTTTGATATTCTGGATGATTATCGCGACCATCGCGACACAAGCGAAAAGGGACTTTTGCGCGCTCTTTGACGCCATCGAATGACAAACGCTCCAAACATATTAGAATGAAAAATTTCAGGAAATTCTGCAACTTTTCCCAACACCATAAAAAATCAACTGACAACCGAATTGAAACTCTGGCCACACGAATTCTCCCAAAAGGCTTCGACGTTGGACTTTTTTTCACTGCTACGACTGTATTTAATGAAATAAGCGCCAACTGAGAAAAAGTTCAGCGGCAGAAATGTGTCCAGCAGTTGTTAAAGTCTCCAGAGAGTCCCTCGAACACAGCATAGAGAATAATCGAGAAATTTCAAAACTTTCGGTACTGTTTGTCATAAAATATAATAAGTAGGGCCAAGCGTTGGGGTTTTGGACAAAAAGCATCGCGCAGCGGAGAAAAAGTTGCCACATTTCCCATGAAAGAAGAAACACCGAAAACTTTTAACAATTCCCTCAGCAATTCCACAGCTCGAACATGTCAATCAATTATGCATAGCAACACAAATGCTATATACGATTAAATTGCTAAGAAGTCCCTCGATTTTTCGGGCGTCTCGGCACTCCTTTTTTTTCCGCTGATCCGGGTAAAAATGTCATCCCCAACGGATTTGAGCCTCACTCAATGTCCAATACAAGATTGATATAATCATTAAGTGAGAATTGCTAAGTAAGGAAGAATGAAAAGCTCTGTGACGCGTTTTAAAATCAGTCCGCAAACCCTTAATTGCTGAGGAGAGCAATTTAAGATGAATTCTAAAGCACTTCGTTAGTCGAGAAATAACTTTGTCAAGTGACAATTCAGCATAAAATTCAATGCTTTGGAGATTTCTCCAGTCAATTTTACTTATCTTCTGATAGTTGTGAAGCAAAAAATAAAAATGTCTCTCACAATAAATTTGTAAATTTGATTGACGTTTGACAGTAATTAAATAAAGAAATTGGAATTTCAAATTAAGACAAAAATAAATCAAATTTGATTTATTTCAGTTGTGACCCACTTTGGAATGTCAATTAAGTTTAAATTTAGAGCCTTTTGAATCCAGTTTTTTGTATATTTAAAACTGTGTAGTTTTAAAAAATCATTTGCTACAAAAATAAGATTAAGATTCTTGTGATTCTTTCAATGTAATTCAAGCATTACAGCTGAAGATTCTGAATTTTACATGAAGATGTTGAAAGCATATTTGTAATCTTCTTTACAATTCTATTATTTCATACCTTTTCCGTTCAAATGTCTGTAAACACTTGTGTAACTTATGCAGCAACAAAGTAAAGCGAATATTCATTCATTCATTCATTCATTCATTCAGCAGAATTTACGTTTCGAGCACTATTAAAATACTCTTGTACAAATTTCCTCATTGTACCATTGGCTTGACTATTGCACAAGTCAAGAATAAATCTGCATGCAGTTTTCAAGTCCACTTCATGAAATCTTGTTTTCCTGGAAAATCTCAAAATCCCGAAAATCCACAAAAGCAATGCTCTGTTTAGCATAAAATCAAATTCGAATCTTCAGCATGGTTTACGATTTTGCCTGTAGCATTTGTGGATTTATATTTAATGGGATTACTTCTAGTCTGGCAATTTAATATGAACAGAGAACGCATTGTTTGCCATGGGTTGTGAACAAAGAGAGAAATGGTTGTAGTTCACCACTTGAATTGCACTTAAGAAGACATCAGAAGAGGTGAAAATGATCCCATTTGTGATGAGAGGAGCATGAAATACCATTGGTATTTTGATAATGCATATTTGGATCAAGTTTTAGCATTCTTTTTCTCCAACATGATAGACGGAGATTGTGCGAAAATATGGCAAATTCTCGCTCAGTCTGCGTGGAAAGAATGCCGGTCTTCATGTGGAAAATCATACACAATACCCAAATTGCAAATTCGCCCAATGAAGCGTGTCTCAAAGTGAAATCCTCGCCAGACGCTTTTCCAACGGAGTTCTTGCCCCTGGATAATGAATAGCACAACTGGCAGCGGAGAGTCTTTGATCTTATTTGGCCATGTCTGCCATTAGAAGGGCGTCGTTTAAGTTGATATCGCGAAAGTTCATGCAGAGACAAGCGCTTAGGAAGATTTTAAATGACAAGATAATTGACATCTTAATTGGAAAGTGATTTCAATACTTGAATGTCACGATAAATGCAAAGCTCTGGCAAAGTTTCTGAAATAGAACAATTAATCCGTAAGTTGGATGAAATGCACTTTGTGATTAATTTGTGCGATTAGTTTCCGTTCAGGATTTCTGCAATTCACATACGATGAGAAATTCAAGGAAATCGCACAAAATCTCACAATTGTGAGGGAAAAGTATACGGAAAATAAACCGCGCGTCGTGATTGAGAGTTTGGATATTTTGCATTTTTAACCATTTTCAACCCCTTCTTGAGTGTACTTTCAGTGGTTTTACACCACGACTTTAGAGCTCCTTTCGCCATGTCTTTTATTAGCAATAATCTCTTTATTTGATGTCTTCACAGCCACTTTCACTCGGCGGTGGGGGGGAATAAACTCCGCGGGCTCTTTTTGCTAAATCGCCCGTGAGGCTCCTAATGGCGGGTGTGAAATGAATTTTCATAGGGTAAATTGAAAACAGAGTGTCGTTTAAAATGATTTTTGATAAATTCACAGGGCGTAATTGAAAAATGTACGCTTGCTGCATGAAATGGGGTTAACAAATGGGGAGAATCTGCTGGAATCCAATGGAGATTGTGTCTGTGTGATGCATTGTGGAGTAAATAGCCATAAACAGGAGCTTAAAGTGCCATCATGGGAGAGAATTGTGGGTGGCGGAAAAAAGCTGCCAAGAGACATCTACTCACGACAAATTTTCTCACTCTTGGCGAGACTTACCACCGTGTGGCGACCAAGAGGAGGAATTCCAGAAGCGAGATGACAGACAGAACCCTTAAGTGCACAGGGAGGAAATTGAGTAACTGCCATGAAATGTGTTGGACGAATTGCACACGCTGACGTCGGTCAAAGTGAACAAAGTTTATATGTTTTTGCCACAACAGAAAGAGGGAAATGTGAAAAGAAGAAAGTAGGGAAATGTGTCTCTCATATAGCAAAACTATTTTACGACACTCTTCATCTTCAATCCCATCTTATAGGCAGTCGATCACATTGAAGGAAATATTATGACATCAATTAGAGTTTTGTCTGTTCGAAACAAATAAAAAATCACACCAATTTGGTTTACAATTCTCAACTTTGAAAGAAATTTTCGGTTCTCTTTTGGTGAAACATATTAATGTAATGAATATTATTTGATACTTGATCTTGAATTTATCATAGAGGAAAATTGGGTAAAAAAAGCAGTTTAAATTCCTCTTATTTAATAAACATTGCACAATAATAATATTATTACGTTGAAAAGCCCTTAAATGCAGTAAAAGAGATCACCACAGCATACTTTTAATTCCCAGCATAATCTGTTTCAAAATACAATAAATATTCCAGCAGATGCGCCATATATAATTCATCTTCACGTGCAACTCTAGATGGAAGCGGAGTTCTCATTTATCCTGACGCTTACAGTGTTTACTCGTCTTTTTGCAGAGAGCTTCACATCATCCACAGTGCATCCCATCGCTCTGCCCTATTTCAATTTTGATGTGCAGCGCAACGTCACCGTGACGGTGGGACAAACAGCCTTCATCCATTGCCGTGTTGAGCGTCTCGGTGACAAAGACGTGAGTACATATTTTCGTACACAACCAACGAGAATCACTTTTGACACGTCGCGTGGGAAAAGCAATTCCTGCATGTGTTCAGGAGCGAGATTGCCGTGAGCCGGAGTCAATCAATATCGGGGAATCAGTTAAAACAATTAGAGATAATTGAATTCGCGGTGAGAGTGAAGTGAAGGTGCAAAAATGCATCTTCTCCGCCTCCTCACGTCGTGATGAAGATCTCGAGTTGATGGAGGATGCTATGATAGAACTCTCCATCAGCGTTGAACAATTCAGAGTGAATTATGCATTCAGACACTTTGCTATGGAGGGAAACCCGATAAAATTTAATTGAAAATGTGATTCAACACGATAAATCCCATCTTAATGGCTCCATCAAGTGATAATCTTCTCAAATAACTTTGTGGACGACAAACAAGAATGGTTTTGAGATCCTTTCACCAATGCACAAAAGTATTTTTTACTAATCGAGGTAAAAGAGAAGAGAAAAGTTCAAAAGTCGAACTTTTCCAAAATCACACAATCCCACTTCTGACACCAATATTACAATGGGCAGTTTTAGTTCTTCCTCAACCGACGACTCTCTGACTAATCAAAATAGTGAAATGAATCATAAATTTGTGCTCTGTGAAAAGCAGGTTCAGAGCTTGATACAAAACTATTCACAGTTTCCGGGTGAAATATGCTGGGAATTTAATTTCTCGTATCCTTAGAAGAACAATTCATGCATCTCTGCGCCCCAGTCACTCGACTCTGTCTGCTCATCCCCATTGAGTAGACGTGGAAAAGAAAAATATCATAATTTCAGAGCTTTTCAACCCTTTAGAAATTTCATGAAAACGTGACACACCTTGATGAGATAGGAGATTATCTATGAAACACGTCGCCCCATTGTGAATTGCTGACTGTTCTTCAACTCATTTTCTCCGACGCGCGTCTTTCAAAAGCTTAACGCTGGGGCGGGTTTTCCACGGAGGACTCTCGACGTAGACGATTTCCTTTGACAGTCTCACTGCAATTTTAATAAAATCTGTCATCAAGCCATTTTTCATTTCACCCCACATTTCACTTGAAGTCTCTCCAGCTGCATATGTATCGTAAGCAAGGATTCTTCCGCCCACGTCGCGAAACTATTTAGGAGAAAAAGTTTTCGCCTCGTCACACACATGCGAAAGACGATGTGGTTTCAATTGGTTGCGGCTGAACTTGTTGAAATGGCAGGAAAAGTTTCTCCGCCGCCACCCCCCGAAAAAGCGGAAAAGCGACGGAGAAACTTTCGCCACAATGATGACATCGCAATGAGGCAGGTCCAGGTATATTCTGGCAATTGATACACCGTCCACGAGTGTGTGCACAAGTTATTAATCAAAAGCCGCAGGAAGTGACTCGGCCCGCATTTAGACAAGACAGAGATGTTGTCATTATTCTTGACAATAACAAAAAGGCAAAAGTTCCCATCGAAAACTTCCCACGGCAGAAAAATCGCACACCTTCATTCGCTTATAGATAATTGGAGTTTTGTTTTATTCATCCTGAATGCCTTCATCCTGAGAGCCTTCATCCTAGAGCCATTTCTCTATGACATGATCAACCGAGAGCGTGTGTATGTGTTGGGATAAAGTTCTTATCTTTTTGAAGCGTGCAAATAAAATAAATTGGAATCGATTATTCAAGTGGTGGGTGAACAAACATCTACATCACAGTCATTCCGTGTTTAGCTCTCCAAATTCAGCACAGCTGAGCAGCTTTAGGCTCTCACTTACAAAATAGCGATAGTTTGTAGTCATTTGACGGAATACTTGACTAGAAAATCGTACATTTAAGCCACACCTCACTTAATCTGCTCTCGTTGATTCAATTTCTTGCGAAGAGATAAGAAGATGAATTATTTTTGAAGAACATCCCACACATTTGAACCAAGGATGTTTAGGGTTTTTAATCAAGCCTTGTTAGCCCCACACTCTCCTAACCAAAAATCTCCAGCACACAAATCACATTTCTTTGCCTGTCAATAAATAAAATTGCTCCCCTTTTTCCGGAGTTTATTTCACGCTGTGGTTTTGCCAACTTCTTGGCCAAAGGTCGGACTTTCTGATGTATGAGAGGGTGAATAAAATATGAGATCTACTGGCTTTACGCTACAAAATCCATACACGATGAGAGGTGGAATTTTTTCATGGTCAGGCTCTGTGCAGAAGCTTTTAACATCATCCCTTGTGTTGGTAAGCAACGTCAATATTCATCCATTAATTTCTATGTATCCGTGGGGGGTGGGAAAAGACAGCAAAATGAATATAAATAGCAATGCTCTGCCCTATTATCCAATGCCTTCGCCGACCACCTCCATTAATATCCTTGATTGGATATTGAAGCGCGCGCGGCGCCGGAGAGAAAAGGAGCAACTATAATGAAGATGTTTCATAAAGCAAACTCAAAGAACATTTATCAAGCAGCGGGGTTTCAATATTGGCCGGCAAAGCGGGGCGAATGCACAGAAATTCTCAGCGCCAAAGGTGATGATCAAAGACTGTATTTTTCCCTCTTTAATTTTTACATTGCAGGTCTCGTGGATACGAAAGAAGGATCTCCACATTTTGACTGCAGGCACACTGACTTACACGTCAGATCAGCGATTTCAGGTTCGTTACTTCCCTTCTGTATAGTCATTAAAGTGAAAATCCCGAGCTTTCTCGCATTTAATTAAAGCCTCTGCGAGGCGGACAAAAAGGACGAGAGGCAGGAAGTATGAATGCGTTGAGCGTCAAGGATGAAAGTGTGCCCATGTGTAATTAAGGGCTCTATCAGTGCTGCTGCTTAATTAGCGAGCTCGTAATCAAGTGGCCAGAGAAAAGCCCTGCCGGAGAAGGAATAAAGCGAAAGATAACAAGATAACGCGCATTTATTTCGGCAGCGCGATTCTCTATATCGGGTGAAAATAATTTTGCAGAATTAATCAAGAGGTCCTGGACGCACATCTCATTATATTTCCCTCCGCTCGGTGAACAAGAAAATGGGAATAATATTCATGGGTGAGATTTCACCTCACTCACAATCACACTTCGTACGCCATGCAAACGTGCTTGGCCTCTTTGCTCAGGCTTATCTATCGGAAAAGCTCCTCTTATGCGATTACTCGCATTTTTCAGCCCTAATTGCATTGAAAGCTTTTTTCTTACAATTAATTGTGGAGCTTCACTTGGCGATTGCGACAGAGCGACACAAAGAGAGCTGTGAGTGAGCAATACACTGAGAAAAAGTATTGATTTTTAGGTAAAATACATTTCAAAATTTACATTAACCATGTTTTTATACGATCTTATTAAACAACTTCGTGTACAGGATATGGAAAAAGTCGTGGCAAAGGACTGAATTTGTGTCATTTTCACTGAGTTTTCTTATCAACTATTTCTCTCTGTGCAGCACGGTTTTTATATTCACTTGAGAGCTTTTTCTCTTGCTCAACTCATAGCCATTTGCAGAAGGTCCTTCTATACCCATTCTGCGAAGGAGGATATTTTAATACAAGCGACGAATCGATAGAATCACAGTGCATGGCGATAATACAGAAGTTCCTCTTTAATTCAGCATTAAAGGTAATTTTTGATCCATTTCGGCAGGTAATCCGATCGGATAGCACAGGAAATTGGACACTTCAGCTGAAATATCCCCAGATTCGAGACACGGGCGTGTACGAGTGTCAAATAAATACAGAGCCAAAAATGTCCCTCTCGTATGTGCTGAACGTTGTCGGTAAGTTGATTAAAATGTCATTGCATGTAACGCTATTGTCTGCATCTTCAAACAATGGCAACATTACTCGCTCCGGCTAAGAGAGGAGATCTTTGTTCTCCCACTCTCAGCAGGTGAACGAGCCCAGGAAATAGACGAGAGTCAATTAAGTGCATGGAAATTCTGCCCACGCTCACAGAAGTGTAGATAATTTTTCAGTTAGTAGTTTTTGCACTCTCGCACAAGCTCTTGACTTGTGCTTATTGACTTAAGTGAGTGTTATATTACATTCTAAATATTTCACTGGGAATTTTTCCTTTCAACTATCATACTTTCGCACGAACAGTTGTGCATGAGGAATGGCTGAAAATTGAGTCTCACCCTCAAACTCCCCCTCCGTGATGGTTTCACTGCACAAAGTACAACCACTAATTGACAAATTCAATTACAAGATGCAAACTTGCACTTTTGTTCCGAAAGTTGTCTCGGAATTGTGCATGCAGCTAATTGAATTCTCCTCAAGTTGATTTTAACTTGAAGGCGAATTTTAATATTTCGCTCAAGAGAGCTTCCCATTTAAATTATTTCCCTCCACCCTTTGCTGTGCCTTTGGTTTATTGTCCGAGTGCGCGGATAAAGGGGAAAAAATATATATTTAATTAAGTGGCGAGTGAGTGGAAAAAGTTGCAAAGTTTAGATAAATTAATTTTCCTCTGCGTTGACCAATTTATTCACGCTAAAAGGTGATGAATTGACTTTGTTCTCTCATTAACACTTTGACTTCACGCCTCGTCCTTTGTTCGAATTCTTGTCCGCTTGTCTGCAGGAACTCTTGCATTCCTTCCCAGTTTGTGCTGAGACAACTATGAAATGCTGAAGTGCTACACGAGAGAGAGGGAGAGAAAGTGTTTGATAAATTAATCACCGGCGGCAATAGAAGCTATCTGATAGGATTTGCTTTGAATTTCACAGTGAGAACATCTTCCGGCCACGCTAATTACTTCCAAAGAATATTCATTTAACTTTCCCATTGACGCGCCATGAAAGTGGGACGATTTTAAAAATATATATACAAGTTCAAACCAACGCCTGACAATGAACTATATGCGCCTTGGTGTCGTTTCATTTATCTTTTGGATCACAACGTCACAAGTTAATAATTAAATAGACGCTCCTTCTTAATTTGTTAATTGGATTATCCCTTGCTGCTTTGTGCTCTTGTTCAATTTTTCAAATTAAATTTCACGCTCTCGATATAGTGAGACAATTCCCCGGAGGAAAAGCTCTCCTATCGTGTCTGAATTCTCTGCTGCACGACAATTTAACTCACTAGAGACCATCATGTAACGTATCATGCGCCAAAATGCCAATTTTTTTCGAGCTCTTCGAACATATGGAAAACTGATGATGTTCTTGATTAAAAATTGTATTAATTTGAAAATTGAAGGTTTCTATATTGATTTAAAATAAACATACGTGAGCGCCTTTTAAAGGGGAAATCATAAATTTATTATCCTTAATTCAATGTTTCCGCATAAGAAAAGTTGAAAACAGTTTAGAATAAAAAGCTTCGTGATTTTCCTAATTTCCTTTTGCAGGAAAAGATATAAAATCAATTTATAAAATCAACTTATTATACAAAAGAAGACAAAATTGCCGATTTCACTTCGAATAGCAAGGAAGTTTTCCTGGTATTTCGTGTGAATATTTCATGGCTTGCGTAAAAAGAGTCACGTTGAATGTAAATGACTCCCTTTTTTCGCTGTAATATTTGTTGTACATCCTAATCACCGTCCTGAATACGCAAACCGATACTGTTTTTAATTAATAGTCCTAATTGGCGCTTTCGCCCAAAATCAATTGACATTATGGCAATGTTGTATTCCCTCCTAAATGGCCGTGAATCACGGAAAAAATGTCACTGAGCATTAATCACGTACGGCTACAATTTAAAATCAATTCTGCTGAATCAGTGACCCCAATTTTCGAATTGATTCGCTCATATTTTACCCATATTTTCCCACGGGCTGAAAAACGCGCGCGTCTCCGGGGGGAAAAACCTAATTATTTTAATCACCCAAATTGCTCATATTTCAGCAAACTCTCACGCGCGCTCATGTCATTTTCGCTGAGAAATCGTCGCCCCGTACGCGACGCAGTGCTGTGCGAAGGGAGAACAAATCAACCCCAATATCAATTCCGTGTTTGGAAGTGATGAAAATTTCGAAGGAGGTGCGCGATAAAAATTCCCCAGTGTAAATACGCAAATTGCTGTGAATTTTTTATCTGCACACTTGCAGGGCGCCGCGGCGGGGCGCTGAAACAATTCATCGGGCTCGTCCATCCGTGAAAATGTAATTTAAACATTTGCGCCATGGCGGAGAGTAAGGCGCAATTACAAATTCACCTCACGACCCGGAGAATGGGAGCATTTGGGGTGGAGACACGTCGAAAGTGTATATTGATTATTTTGTTGTGTGCCGAAATTATCATGTTTGGGTGGGTAAAAATGAGACAATCCCCCCCCACCAGGCGCGCCAAAGGATGCCTAATGGACCATATCTGGCACCAACATCGAAATTATGGCGGCATTTTCGATGCGAGCCCCTCATGTATCGATGGAATTCCCCAACACATTACGGGTATTAAATTTTCCTGAGCGCCAACTCGCATTTGATGGAGTCTCGGCCTGGGGGATGCTCGACGGAGGAAGAAAAATGGAAATCCACTCGCACGACATGGCAGAATATCTTGCACACACACACAATAGAGGATCCATTCACCTGAGGACAGGTGTGATAAAGCCGTCAGATTGGCGCGTCAGGCGCACAGGCAGATAGACATAATCCCGCCGGGGACACATATCAATATCTATAGTCAGGATTGTCTTTTGCCCTCGCTTCTTGCCATCTCACGTGCTGACAAGCCTCGCACAGTCGCGCTCACATGGAAAGTTAATAATAGAAATAACTTTATTCCTCCGTCACAGTGTTTCCACGTGCTCACAATTGACACCACAGACAAGGGCGGATGAGGTGGAATTGCCGAACAAATTAGCTCATAATTAGCCTCTGTATTTGCCACACATGACGAAATACAAATGCACAATTTTGAGCTAAATATTTCTATTTAATTAGACACAAAGACCCAATTGCATCAGCGAGAGTAACATGAGCTTATATCATTTGGCTGTGTTATTGCCAATAATCCAACGTTAATGAGCACTAAATACTGATGCCCAGCTGAAATGTTTAGCGTTCTAAATTTGAGAGATAGAACAGAGAAAGTAGGTTAAAAATCTAGCCATTCCAGCAGTTTCTCAAAAAATTCTATTGACGCAGACTTTCAGTGTGGCAAGCTTAGATCCTTCTATTGAGAGAGCAGTTTCATTGGTTTAATTTGAGAGCAAGTTTGCTATCTCTTCTAAAGCTAATTTCAACCCTTCGGAGAAGACTTTCCCCCTTTATCAGTTATGAATCAGGGCAAATCCTACATTCTGCACTGTGAGTTTCACTTTGCTGACTTGAAAGGAGCTTATCTGCTGGTTTGTTCCTTAAATAAATCATGTCTCTTTGTGAGTTCACAGCAGAGTGTGTGAAATTTGAGGAAATATACACACTCTTTACAATTAATATTTAATTAAATGCCACTCGATTTTACCGAGAACTCTGGAGCGCATCTATGAAAACCATCCTCACAATGTTTACTCGACAATTATATCGTTTCACACCTCAAAAGGCACGTTCGCATTTGCCAATATCACGTAATATCGGAGATTTACGTACATTTAGTGGCGGGAAAATATCCAACATTGCGCTGCTCTGTTGCTCTGCGCCTTCAAGCACGAATGGCTAATTCTTGTAATTGAAAAAACACTATTTGCTAAACTTCTCTCCAATATTTGCTCATGAAGTATATATGTTGACGCATTTCAGTGCAGAAATATCGTCGAATGCGCTTCACGCCATAGAGATAAGACCAAACCAGTTCCTTATCAAGTCCCGCTCGGGCACCAAAATTTAATCTATTTGCCTCCTGTGTAATTTCTACTTTCTTCACTCTTAACCAGACAGTCCAACTGATAACATCGTGATTTATACAATTTATTGAGTTAATTAAATTCCAAGTCAGAAACTTTGCCCTTTGAAGTGTAGAAATTTGCAATACAAGTAGTTTAAGTGAAGTGCAAAAGTCTATTTTTTTCACCTCCGCCGCTCATCATTTTCGTCTCCGCCGTCAGCCAAGCTGTGCCACCAGAGGGGGAGAAAAATTTTGCCCTCCGAGCCACATAGGCTAATAAGTGACTAATTGCAGGTTGGTGCCCATCCATTTTTGCCCTCCGAGCCACATAGGCTAATAAGTGACTAATTGCAGGTTGGTGCCCATCCATTTTGGCCCTTCGAGGCAACGCCGTCCAAGTTGCGAAGGCGTCCACCAGCTTTTGCTGTGACCAAGTGCAGTCCACGCCGCCATTCAGCTCTGCCGTATCAATCTTCACACGCCAAGTAAGTTGTAACAGTGTAGAGTGAAAATTTGTGCAATTCCCATCTTTTTTCCTTTCGCTCTCACCCTGATTAATTATGACTCTCCTGAGCAAAAGAGCGACACTTAAGGGTCACCTGACTCGCATTGAAAATTATGTTGATTCCGTTCGCAAGGATGAGGCTTCCTTTTCGGCTACAGATATTGCCTCCAACATAACTAAACTTGATGACCTTAAAGCTCAACTCACAATGGTTCATGAAGAGCTAGTGAATACGGGAAATAATTCGGTGACTGAATATGAGGAGCACTCGAGAATCATGGAGCGAATTAGTCAGTTGAGGAGAATTTTGGGTGATGCTTTGGACCGGAAGGATGATAATGATGATCCTTTGCCCATCCCTGGCCCTTCTGGCTCTAATCATCAGCCATCAGCTCAAATTTCTGGTGATTCGTCAATTGCTAATTTAGAAAAAGCTCTTGCCATGCTCATTACCCATCAAGCACAAGCAGAGGTGCGCAATCAGAACTTTTTCGAT